AAAATCAGAACAGATTTTCATACAATTAGATAATAAATAAAGCCTTTTTTATTTAGTAAAGATTTTACGTACTTTTTTTTACTTATCGGATGTTATGAGATTTTTTTTGTTAAACCGATTTTATGGGATATAATACAAATATAATTAGATGATTGAACAAAATCAGAACAGATTTATATACAATTAGATAATAAGAAGGAATTAAATAAGGAAAAGAAGAAATTAGATAATGAATTTTGAATCTACCTTTTTTTTAGTATAGATAGACTTTACGTACAAATTTAGACTTCACCGATTTTATGAGATTTGTTTTGACAAAATCAAAGACGAACACTGAAGACTGTTTCTATTAACAATTACACTGTGTATTTAATGTTTTTTTTGGCAAAATATTCTTTTTAAGTGTGATATATAAAGGGCAATGCTATATGTACACCCCTTTTTAATAAATTACACAAAGGGCAATGCTATATGTACACCCCTTTTTTACACACAAGGGGGTGTACATATAGACACCCCCTATATAAATATTAAAAATACTTAAAATATTTTATAACATCTATAAAAGCATCTAAAATATTCTATATTATTCACAAATAATGTTTGAAGCTACCTAAATTTTTCTAAACTACCCGTAAGAAAAATATGTATAAAAATTATTCATTTAACCTCCATATATGTACATATATAGAGAGAGAGCAAACGTGTAAAAAAAATTGTACAAATAATATTTAAAAGTATCTAAAATATTAGTAATTAGACAGGTGAAATTTAGATTTTTAAAAAATATATATAGATAATGATGTATAGTAGTAATTAGACTTTTATTTATTTACCTTTAAAGTTGTTACGATAGGGGATGTGATTTTTTTGACTCGTGGAGATGGAATTTTATAAGCTGGTTATGAAATTTTTCTTAAACTCATCCATATCTATGCGATGAGTTTTTTAAGCTGAGTATATAGATTTAAAATTGTAAAAAAAAAAAAAACTTTCATAAATCATTTGATTTGGTATTTTCGGAGAGCTTATTTAATATAAAAGTGTAAAATAAATAAATAAAAAAAATACAACTGAAAAAGTTATAACCAATTGTATGGAGAATTAAACTAAATCCAATTTTGTAGAATACATTAAATATTGATTAGATTTTATATGTAAAATAAAATAAAAAATAACTGGAATAGTTTTACGTGTTGCAATATTTTACATTTAAAAAAATTAAAAAATCTTCTTTTACGTATTGCATACCAACATTTTAGGAAATACATGGATATTCCTAAATTAATATTGCATACCCAATATTTTAGAAACTAATTAAATGCTAATTTGATTTGCATACCAAAAATATTAGATGCATTAATTAAATGCTTGATAAAAATAGCAAATCATTAATTAGGGTTGACTATTCTACATACTACATTTAGTAAATAGTATAGCTTTTAATATAAGTATAGATTGTTGGAGATTTTTCCATAATTATAGTAATTATTTGTAGATTGAATAAATCAGTCAGATTTACTCAATCTGCGTATAAAAGTGCATTTCACAACAGAATTACACGAAAATATTAAACACTATTAAATAATAAATTAAACAATTTGGTTGTAAATTTTTAGCAAATCACATAATTGATATCACAGTCGAAATTCTCAAATTTGGATAAATGAATTTTTTATGACTTGAGCCACAATTTCCGTAATTAATTATTGAAATATACCATAAATTGTTAAATTAATTTTCCAAAATAGTAAATAATTTTTTTAGGGAAATAATTACTATTTAAAAAATAATCAAACATATATAACTTAAGCACCAATCTAAACATGTATGATTTGGAAAATGTTTGTTGAATAAAGTCAAACAACTGACTTACACATAATATCGTTAAACAAAAAGTGGAATAAAATAGGAGCGAAATCATTGGCTCTCGACGGGAGATATATACAGTTAGCTAAAAATCTATTTATTTGCCGTATAAAGTTAGAATCTAGTCATGATAGATAGTCAGATAGTAGATGGAGCAAATGCAAGCAACTCCTGGATATCTCAATTATTCAATAAAACATGAGCGTGAGTTATATAATACAAAGACATCATCCAAAAACAAAAACTCTTCAGCATAACTTAAATTTTGAAAAACAATAGAATTAATTGTTTGAATACAAATATCAGAAAGAAAGCGAGAGAGTTAAAGATGCTCATACGTGGATCAATATACTGGTAAACATCTGCCGAGACAGAACCAGTCCCGTAGACGATAGAATATCCAGCAATGACCACCATGTTCCGTAAACATCTGTCGAGACAGAACCAGACGCGGATCCATACGCTCCATGAACACTTCTCGTAGATCGACCATCCGATCATCGACATCCCGCACGTCACAACCTCCAGGATGGAGTGGGTCATGAATTCGGCCACTGCCACGTGTTCCGACACCACTCTCTGTGGGGCCAACGACTTCATCATGAAACCCTGCACTTAGTCCTCTCGAAACCCATCTGGCAGCAATTTGCAGATCAAAAATATAAATTTCTTAGCCTAATTAAAAATGGAGGCAAGAACCAATATCCTTTAACTATACCAACTAAATGGCAATTGCTATTTGCACATCAAAACAAAAAATTTTACTATAAAAACACAATAAATTTACCCTGATGAACCAACCGCACTTCATCATCTGCCAAAAATCGTCGAAGTTTACCCTCTCGTCGCCACCTAAGTTGCCAGTACTCCTCCGGCATCTTCACCTACTTCAGCCTCAGCGCCGCCGTCACAACCTCAGCTCATCCGCCGTGATAAACCCACCTTGTCCTGATGGAAAAAAATCCGTAAACGCCTCCCGCACGTCCTCTTCACCGTCATCCCCCTCGTCGCCTCCGGCGTTTGCCATCACCACAGTATACAGGGTGCCGAACTCCTCAGTGTCTAAATGGACGTCCTCGTCGACATCAATCTTCCCAATCATCGCTCGTAGCTTTTCCTCCGGCAAGAACATCCCGAGATTCTCAAGCGAATTGTTGAGCTCCTTCCGGCTGATGTTGTCGTCGCCGTTCATCGAGCATGGAGAAGACCCAATGGATCTCCGCCGTGCCCATCTTCTCTTTTGGGAACCTAATTAGAGAATTGGTTTGTATTTCATTTTGATCGGTTAATTTCAAATTTCACCCAAAAATTTTGGAAGAGATTGGTCCATTAAGATTTGATATGCCAAAAATTTGAGTTTCCACTTAATCGGTCCATTAAGATTTGATTTGACATACCAAAATTTGAGTTCATATACCAAAAATAAATTGATCTATCCGTTTAAATTTGATATCATATACCAAACAATTTTGATTTGATATACCAAAATAAATATGGTTTCTTTAAATATTAGACTTTAAATTTTTAATGAAAATTTTCAAAATATGTTTGAGCGGGATTTTCGAAAAATTTTCAAAAAAATTACTTAGTTTAGTAAGTCTGAAATTTTTAAGCGGGAAAATAATTACTTTTTTAGGTAAATACAAAACCTTTTTATATTTATATAGATTATATAAAAAAATATTACTCCTATAAATGTTATAAATAATAATGATATTATATGACAATAAATTTTTGAATAAAATAATACAGAGTATTATGATGAACCAAGATATGTAAAATTATTATTTTTTCGTATTAAAAAATAAATATATATGTTAAAATATAATCTATATTAATATAAACGGGTCAGCGGGCTAATATGTTAAACAAAGTTTTCAAAAAATGTTCTAAGGTACGAAACCCCAATGCATCGCACGGGATTCTCACTAGTTTGTTTAAAAGCATGATATAAAGAAAATCAACTCAATCATGTTAAAATCATGGTTAAAAAATAAATTTTACTAGTTTATAGTGTTGGGTTCTGTTAGGAACATTGACTATTGTCCACATTCAAATTTATTGAAAAATAAATCCTAACGTAGCGGAATCTATAACTAGGATTAGGACTTACGATTTAAAATTTTTGCCGACTCTGAAACATTTCTGATTTTCGCTATAGGAGATTGTCTGAATCGTAGAGTCCGCTAGGCAGCCGAACTTGGCCTCATCAATGCATCTTCGGTTGCTCGTCGAGTTGTCTCGGACCTTCGGTAGGTTAGTCGGACTGCTGGGGAATCGCCTTGGGCATGAACCGGGACTTCTGGACCGAGCTGGGCCTCCTTGGAGCTCGTAAGTTACTGTCGGGCCGGTTTGGAGCTGTTGGACGCACTCTGGGCCGGCTGGAGTTGTCTGGCCTCGAACTGGAAGCTTCTGGGCCGTGGACACGTCGCTAGGCCGCGCCAAGACGCCGTATGGCCGAGGATGCGCGTATAAACGCACCGGGAGCGAGGTCTCGAAACTTTTTCCGAGGCGATTAACCGGGGACTTTTCTGGCAACTTTCTAGGTATTTTACGGCGACTCCAGAATGCAAATTTTCTACAAAATAAAAGATGAAATGAGAAATAAAAAGCACACGATACCAAAACACACAAAAACACAAAAATCGAGCAACATAACTAAATGGACCGGGAAAAAAAAAAAAAAAACTAAATTGAGCAAAATAACTTTCTAGGTATTGTACATTTTCATAATGCATGCACTGTCTCATATAAATATTTTATCACCAAAGTATGCAGTTTATATCAGAAGTTTTTATACTGATTATTTTTATATTCATGTCTCAATGTTTATATAGAACTCAGATTAAAATTCTAATTACGATTTTCAATAACGTTTGTTGTCAAATTGAAAATTGGTAAATTTTACGAATCTGACCTTTTTTTTTTTAGGGTTGATTAATTCAGCAATCAGCAGACCACAAAATCGTTGCGACATCACATTATCTCCTATGGGAAAGCAAAAGCAGACGGCAGAAACAGAGGAGAGCCATGGAAGACAGAATATCTGAATTGCCAATACCTTTACTTCACCACATTCTCTGCTTCCTCTCTCAGAAAGAAGCTCTGAGAACTTGTCTACTCTCCAAACAATGGCGCCACGTAGGATCAACCCGTCCCAACCTCGAATATTCGGAAGAATGGTTCGACAACACACAAGAAAAGTCTGTCTCCGTCTCAACTGCTCCTCCATAATGCACCACATTCTCTATTACCTCTGCAGACCATGGCGCCACAGAGGATCAACTCGCCCCAACCTCGACTCTTCCCAAAAATTGTTCAACACCACACAACAAAACTTTGTCTCCGTCGTAGACCGAACCCTACAAGGATACAGTGATCAAAACCTCTCCATACACAAACTCCAACTCGACTGTTCGAGCCCCGAATCACAACCGATCGTCTCCCTTTTCGACAAATGGATCCCGATGATAGCCGCCTTCAACATAAAATCGTTCAGACTCAACTTTTGTTCATATACTCTGCCATGTTACGGCCTGCTCTCAGCAATATTCTTAGCCGAGTCGCTCGAAGAACTACATCTGCGAAATGCAGGCTGAGCTCGGTCGAGAGCGTGCGGTTTAAAAATTTGCGCACGCTCATCCTCGAACAGGTCCAAGTTGATGGCGGCAGTGCGGCACTTTAGAGACAAAAATGTTGGGCTGCCCTTTGCTCAGGCGACTGGTCCTTGATAATTGTTGTGAGTTGAGAAACGTTAGGGTGAGCGAGGCGGCATCGCCTGGGCTCAAGCACTTTGAATTGTATGCTTACAATTGGGTCGAAGGGCGTAGCATCGAAATTGATGTTCCAAATCTCGAGACAGTCTATGTCAGGGGCGCATGGATTTGGTCTCACCGCCAAAGCACATTCTTGTTCTCTCGTCTCACGAGTTTGAGTCTCTATAGTGTGATCCTGTCGAGCGAGTCGTTCGACCTGTTATCGTTCGGCTGCCCGACCCTTGAGAGCTTGACCCTAGGGGATTGCTCCGGTTTCGAGGAATTCTATCTTGCAAGTGATTCGGTCGAGTCCTTGCACATCTCGACAAGAAATATACCGCTTAAAGGAGTTACGATTTGTTCCCCCAACAATCTCGATTTTATGTTCACTGCCCGCATTCCCCAGTTGCCGGACACATTCTCTTTCACGACCACTAATTCCAAGGAGTGGTATTCAAATGTATTCCTCTCTTCGTGCGAGGATGATCCCGATTTCAATGTCAATTTGTGGTTCCTTGAGCTGAGACGATTGCTCAAGGCACTAAGTGGGTCTCGGATTTCTCTGTCTTTGCAGATGGACGGCGGCCCTCAGGACGTGCCCTGTAGTGATGTTCTAGCTGACGAGCCGCCTGTAGTGGTGTGGAGTTTGAATTTTTCTACTCGTAAATGTCGCACGGCGTCTTGGAACTTGGGTTTTACGAATGGCTTGTTTCGTGTTTGTCGACCGAGTCTCGTATGGGGTGGTAGGCTCGTGAGCGAGTCGGGCAGGAAGTACAGGCTCTCAGAGTTTCAGTTAAACATGTTGCTTGCAAACAAGAACTTCAGGACCGAGCCCTACTTTTGGGGGAACGATTTGGAGCAAGTTCACGTGGATGGGCAGCTCGTGCAGTGGACAGACCAGTCGGAATTGCGGAACAAGACGTATGACGGGGAAATATGGCTTGACTTGAAATGGAGATGTTAGAAAACGGCATAAGTACTACGCTCCCTTGCTTTTCTATTTACTACACATCTCTTATTTTAAAGCTTTTCGTCGTTATTATCAGGAGCTGGTGAATCGTCTGATATCACATTAGGCTGCAGAAAAGTATATATGCACCGTAACAATAAGAACAAAAGTGCTGCACAAATATAAATAGACTGACAAATGAGGTTTTTTTTTTTTTTTTTT